GCTATGTAAATACCAATAATAATATTGTATGTGATGACAATCAAATTTGCCTATTAGCTATGCAGTCTACACAGTGCAATCTACACAGTGACTGTGTTTTACTGCTCCTCAGTGAAAGGCTATCAATTTGCCTATACTGATTTAAAATAACAGACTTTCCTTTACTTTTAATTTATCCAGAGCTTCATGAGAAGAACTGGTTAAGTCTACAAATTAGAGCTGCAGCTAATGATTATTTTCAAAATCGATTAGTTAGCCGATTATTAAGTTCGATTAATCGGATAAAAAAATTAAAATACATTTTAAAAAATGGCTCCAGTGATGGGACTGCTAGTTTGTATTGCGATTGTAGTCCATCACAGGAGCAGGCTTAGAGCAGTGGAAGTAAAAAAGAAAAAAAAAGTGTGGTGTGCGATATAGTGAAATTAAAAGTGTAAAATTATACAGCAATGAATGCAGCATGGCACCGGCTATAGAGGACTACAAATCCCAGCAATAGTACATTATACAGCGCAATGCAGAATATCACCAGCTATAGAGGACTACAAAACCCAGCAACAATGCATTATAGCTGGCGGTATTCTGCATTGCGCTGTATAATGTACTATTGCTGGGTTTTGTAGTCCTCTATAGCTGGTGGTGTTCGGCATTGCGCTGTATAATGTATTGCTGGGATTTGTTGTAGTCCTCTATAGCTGGTGGTATTCTGCATTGTGCTGTGTAATGTATTATTGCTGGGATTTGTAGTCCTCTATACAGCGCAATGCAGAATACCATCAGCTGTATAGCAATACAACAAATCCCAGCAATACATTATACATACAGTGTATAATGTATTCCTCTATAGCTGATGGTACATTGCTCTGTATAATATACAGTACAGCACAATGTACCATCAGCTATAGAGGAATAAAAATCCCAGCAATACATTATAGAGCACCATGTGTGGGAAAGTGCAGGCGTACCTGAGCAGTCTTCCAGCAACTTGCTTCTGAGATCGGGCCTGTCTATCTGCCGCTGTCATCCCCACCCCACACCTTTTTCTCCTTACTACTTCTCCCCGCGTCCCTGTGCCGATCGTGGATGTGGGCGGGCGGTGAGCGTGAGGCGGGGAGGAGGTGCGACGTGTGTAGCGTGGAATGCGAGCGGGTCTGGCAGCGGCGAGCGTGAGGTGGGGAGGAGGTGCGTCGCGCAACGTGTGTGGAGCTGTGGACAGGAGCAACTAATCAAAAGCCGATTAATCGATGATTGAAAAAGTTGACAACTTTTTCAATAATCGATTATAATCGATTATGTCGATTAGTTGTTGCAGCCCTACTACAAATAGAAAAACCTTTTTTAACAGATTTGGCTACACGCTTTAAAACCCATTTATATTAGTTGACCTTTGCTCAATCATCAGCTTGTACAAAAACAAATTAGTTAATTTCAGTTTTTAGGCGTACCAGTCAGGTCATTAAAGGAGAACTATGGGGTTAAGGCTTTTCCCCATAGTTCTCCTTAGGGTAACGGGAGGACACAAACTAGTGTCCTCCCGTCACCCTAAGCTCAGTATACCGCGAGCTGAGGCTCGCGGTATACTGAGACGGCGCAGCTGAAGCGGGTCCGCACTTTTTCCCCATAGTTCTCCTTAGGGTAACGGGAGGACACAAACTAGTGTCCTCCCGTCACCCTAAGCTCAGTATACCGCGAGCTGAGGCTCGCGGTATACTGAGACGCCGCAGCTGAAGCGGATCCCGACAATTGTGCCAGTATCCGCCCAGCTGCGTGAGTGACAGCTGGCTCTGCCTATCTAGAGGCAGAGCCAGCTGTACCCGCCACCTCCCCCACCCGTTCCGCCAGTCAGCGCTGGTGGATCGGAGGGGGGAATCCAGCCCCTCCCCTGTCACGGCAGAGAGCCGTGACAGGATCGAGAGGTGAGCGAACGCCGGTATGTGTTCACTCACCCCCGATCTACTGAGCCGACCTGTGACAGTCCCATTGTCACAGGTCAGCTAGAACTATGAGGTGAGTGAAAAGCACTCACCTCATAGTTATCCTTTAATGAATATTTATTTATTGCAGGCATTTATGTAGTGCAGACAATTTACATACATTCACACACATTCATATTAGTCAATGCTCTCAAGAAGCTTACAATCTAAGGTCTCTAACTTGAATGCATTCATTGGAGTTTGGGAGGAAACCATGTCTTTGGAGTTTAGGAGGAAACCAGTCACCTGCAGTAAACCCACCATGCGCATGGAGAACATGCAAACTCCATTCAGATAGTATCATGACCAGGATTCAAACCGAGGACCTGAGTGCTTCAAGGCAAAAGTGCTGCATATTACTGTAATGATTGTCTGGCCTTACTGAATATACTTGGAATTTACCGTTTAGCTATGCGGTGAATTGTTAAAGTGATTCTATAGAGGTTTCAAATATTTATGTTGTTTATGTTCAGGACTAAATAATACTTTTTAGACTTAGAGCATTTAAAAATGTTTTAATTTATGAATGGCATCCAGCAAGCACTATGTATCGATTAGACCTGAATATTATTATGGCCGTGTGAATGAATCTAAATAAATCTGAATATCAGATTACACACACATGGCTAAAACAGTCAAAGAAGGGGACACACTCCTTGTCTCCTGCTAGCAGGCTATGAGTCGTCTGGATTTTCGCTACGCAGAAACAGTCAACAAGTCCAAAGCTACTGATGGGCTTTCCTATTAGAAAGCCTAGCCTGCTCTAAACTGGGTAACATGGAGCAGATTTGCACTGCAGCCAATCAGATTCTCTGTATCATTTTCAAATCTTACCTGAGCAAACTGAAGAGAGATGCTGATTGGTTGCCATGGGCAACTGCTCCAGATTCTGTTTGCTCCAGTATTGATAAATTCCCTCCCATGTATCTTATAATTATATGTAAAATAAAGATTTTGTACTAAAGATACAAAACATATGTTCAACATATGTATATAAATGTATAAACGTTTAAGAAAGGTAAATAAAAATGATCCAATAGTCATTACAGTTCCCTATAAATTAAGCCTTTTTTAATTTTTGGAAATGTATTTTAAAATATTCTGTTTAATCCAGATATTCTTATTTATTGTGATGTATACAAATCTGTGTATAGTTTATATATAATTCATATACTGTATGTACTGTACATAGGGAATTATATTTTCTCATTACAAATTTAGATTGTGCTTCTAGCGTAGAATTGCTGCACAGAGATTGTTTTTCTGTTCCTCTCTCCTGTCATTGCAGACTGGATGAAAACAATAGTTTTATATTGTGATCTATTTCCACTTTACAGTCAGATTTAAGAAAACTCCTGTACCTATTTGCACAGCCTATTTACACATACATACTTCTTACCTTTTTAGCTGTTTCTTTCAAGAAGTATTACACACAAGATACTGCAATCAAGCGTCTTATGCTTTGAATACCGTAGATCAGAATGTGGTGATAAGGGGACAGACTGAGGGACAGTTTATTCAAGTTTATTATCATACAATAACTTGAGATTTCTAACCCTTAGTTAAAAAGGGTTTACAACTGATAATGCCTGACATAAAGATAGCTTTTAGAAGGAGAACCTGCAAATCTGCATATATCATTTAAACCACTTTACAGCAAGTAATATAGTAAAACTCATATTAAGAACTAATGTTAGGGTAATGTATTTAATATTAGCTCAAAATGTACTAAATCATGTCACACTATACACTGTTACACCTTAAAGGGTTTTACACTAAAACATTTTCCCTGTAGAAACATGAAAAAGGTCTCCCCCTTTGTACATATTCAGCTTCTGTGAGTAGAAGCAATGCACGGAGTTCCTTCCTGCAGCAGGGTTTCACAGTAAGTGCCTGTGTTGATTGACTTTTGTTCTCATCATGAGGGTTTTATATTCCCATAAAAGCCTTTAGGAATGCAAACCCCACTTGAAGCAGGCCAACTTCAGGTGACATGCATCTGTCGGTTCCACCCGGCTTCCTGATTGGCAGGGAAGTTCTGAAGGATCTCGGAAGCCTCTCAAATTTATGTCATCATCACAAGCTCACAGCCCAGGCCCTAAATCTGCTGTAGTGACCCATTCTTTTGAGAGCCATTTAAAAAAAAAAAAATCATAGATTTAGACAAAAGAAATGTAAACACCAGCAGAATAAGGAACACGGGGCTTTATCAGAGGTGGATAGGTTTGAAGTGAAATATAGTTTTGCTGGGCCCTGCAGTTGAATTAAATTGCAGAAATGCCTTTGGAAAACATACATTGTTTGCACACATCTACACAAGTTAGAGTGTAAAATCCATGCTTCTTGACAGAAAATAGTTGCCTTTTGGGACTTCCCACTATAATTAACAGCAGCAGTGAAGCATATGAAGTGAATTAATACCTTTAAATCCTGATAATTAAGTGCAAAATGTTAACAGGCATCACTGTCACTGGGTCATGGGAATTATTTTACATTTAGGGATTGGTGCTGTTTACGGTGTCTTGTTTATGATGTTCAGAGAATGACTTTATGCAGCATGTAAAATGACTGATTGTACATCTAGAATATATTGTCACTATGTCACTAAGTCGAAAAGTCTTTTTAGTTTGTCTTGATTGCAGTTTTATATTCTTTTGCTAAGATTCCTTGCAGCCACGTTGAGCTTTGCTTTTACAATGTCTCGGGGAAGAGTAGGCAGTCCCCTATGGTCACTCATTCCCTCTCTCTTAGAACTTATTTCTCTGTATATTATGCTTCCTGTAGTCTTCAGTAGACAGTGAGCAGAACCGTGAATGATTAAGGGTGTGAATAATTAGACTAAAAAGAGATTTTTAGTAAAGTGGAGTATCCATGGTCTATAGTCACAGATTCAGAATAGTATTCCCAGAACAGCAGGTTCCTGACAGCAAGATGATTTTACATAGTGGGTGGCTGTGTTTATTTTTGCTGTAGCTAAGTTGTAATGAGCGGAGCTAGTTCCTAACTATGTCTACATTTATTTTTCAGAAACATTGCGATCGGCAAAAGGCAAATCTTCGAATACGATTTAAACCTTCACTGTTCCAACACGTAGGAACCCACTCATCGTTGGCAGGAAAAATTCAGAAGCTAAAGGTATAGAGATAGAGGAGCACAAAATCTTTTTTAGGAATGATAGTGTTTTTGCGTTTTGATAATTAGATGTATGTAAAAACAGAGTCTCCTACTGATTTCTTCTTTTGAGGACTTCCCACTGGAGGTCCTGTCTTAAAATCACTGTAGAGTATTCATAAACACTTTAGCAGTAAGAATGTGATGCCCTGATTATGAACAGGGCATGAGAAGCGAGGGGGAGATATCTTACTTCCAGATTCTGTAAAGAAGCCAGGAACTGACCATAAATAAACAGCTATACGGTTACCAATTTTTCAAAAGCTAATACATGCAATAAAATTATTTATAGCAGCAAGATGTATTTCCTGTGACCTTCCAGTGTCTTATATTTCTGTTTCATTCAGGACAAAGACTTTGGGAAGCAAGCTCTACGCAAGGAGCATGTCAATCCAGCTGCTGAGGTCAGCACTAGTTTAAAAACTTACCAACATTTTACCTTGGAGAAGGCTTACCTGAGGGAAGACTTCTTCTGGGCATTCACACCAACTGCAGGAGACTTTGTACGCTTCAGGTTCTTCAAGCCCTTACGGGTGGAAAGGTCTGTTTTAGTTTTGTGTATTCATTTTATAGAGCCTGGTTGCTCTATGCATAGTAGCTCAGAACTTTGCTATGTAGAGAGTAGCTTAATTTATGTTGCCAAGATATCATGTTTTTTTTTTTAATTCAGGGTTTTGCTTTTAAGTTTAAATCAGTAACCTGCCCATTTCAAGGTGGAATCTGCTCTTCTAAAGGTGCCCATACACCTTACGATTATCGTACGATAATTGCGGGAAATCCTGCGATCAAACGATAATCGCAAGGTGTATGGAAGGCGTGCGACCGTTTCTACTGTACGGTCGCACGTCTTTTGTCTCCCGTGCAGGCTTGAAAACCCGCCGATAATCATACGATTGTCGGCGGGTTAGTGAGGTTCTCGGGAGACAAATGCAAGCGCACACTGCCCGTTCAGCATTGCAGTCATCGGAAACCCGCCCCTCAGGGGGACGGGCTTTCGATGATCGCAAGTACGATCTGCCTGTCCAAGATGGGCAGATCGTACGAGCTTTTAATTAGCTTACAACCATCGCAAGACAAAAGTCTTGCGATGGTTGTAAGGTGTATGGGCAGCCTTCCTAGTTGGTTCGCTCCACAATGGAGTATGCCACTAATGAGAACAATCCTTGGGCCCCAGTTGCATTTTCAAAAGAAGCAACAGCAAAGCCAGCAAGTCTTTCAACAGTGATTTTGTTTTATCATAAACAGGTGATGTTTTGGTTCAAAGATCTTACCATACTGCATAGGTTGAGAAATGTTTTTGGACCCAAATGTCTCTTGTACCTGGTAGAATAAAATAACAGGAGAAGGACTTAATATTGCTGCTGTTCTTTAATCTGCCCATAAGCAGTGGCTGGTGGTTGCACATGCTTACGTGCCACGATTGTTAAAAGATTTCTCTTTCTGTGGATAACCATGTAGACATGCATGTATTGCAAGATTCTGCATAGTTTACAGAGCCCCACCCCCCACACCACTTATGTCTCAAAGGAACAACAATATACAGACTAGAAAAATTTATTTAGCTGGTAAGACTTTCCTCCAATATCCTTTTGCTGGGGATTTTACCAAAGTCCTAAAATTGTAATTGCTTTAAAATAAATAGTTTTGTTTCACTTGGCAAACTAACTGGGTGTGGTCATATCTGTCTTGTATCCTATATACTTATGTTCACTAGTTGGTTATGTTTTTATGTTGCCAGATTGGAAAGGACACAGTGGGCCTGTGTTTCCCACACCTAACCTCAAATCCCACCAACCGTTCAAATATTTGAAAACTTCACCAGCCTGACAACATTTTGCTTCCCTTCATCCAGTATGGGTTTCTTCAGACATGCATATGTTAAATGTTAGATCGCTTTAACGTTAGCACTGCTAGTGCTGCAGTTTTTGATGCTGCTTTTTTTGCAGAAGTTTTTTGCTTAAAGGAGAACTATGAGGTGAGTGCTTTTCACTCAGCCTCATAATCTGAGCCGACCTGTGACAATGAAACTGTCACAGGCCGGCTCAGTAGATCGGGAAGTGAGCGAACACATACCGGCGCTTGCTCACTTCTCGATCCTGTCACTGCAGAGAGCCGTGACAGGGGAGTGACTGGATTCTCCCCTCCCCTGTCCGAACCTCCAGCGCTGACTGGCGGAACGGACGGATGTCCATCGATCCACAGGTCAATCACGTCATCCAGTGAAGTAGATCCACGTCAATCACAATGTACAGCGGCTGCCGACTCCCCGAAAGAAAAAATCCAGAAGAATTCTCACTGGAAAATAACAGGTCTGACCTGAATGTCAACAAAGGGGCGGAGCAAGTCGTGGCATCACTGGACTCCCGCCCTTTTGTTGACATTCGGGAGCAGAACTGTCATAATAACAGCTCTGCCCCCAAATGTCAACAAAGGGGCAGGACACGACATTTTAAGTTGTCACCAGAACAGGAACAGGGAAATCTTGCAATGAGGACACTTGTTGCAGTGACAACTATTTAAGAGATGATTTCCCTCACTTTGGAGAGATTTCCTCTCAATTCCTGTTGTGTCTAGAGGGCAGAAAGTTAAGGGAAATATCCCCAATGAGCAAAAAAAACCTGACCAGGAGATTTAACCTTTTCCTACTTCATCCAAAATTATTTTTTTTTGAAAGTTTTGGCTTTAAATACACTTTGAAGGAGAACTATGAGGATGCGTGAAAATCAATCATCCTCCTAGTTCGAGCCAACGTGTGACAATGAAACTGTCACACGTCAGCTCAATAGATCGGGAAGTGAGCGAACGCATACACTTACATTGCAACATACATTATATTGCAACACTACATTCTACCAGGGAAAATCTTAATTAAAGGAGAACTATGAGGTGAGTGATTTACACTTATCCTCATAGTTAGAGCCGACGTGTGACATTGAAGCGTCACTCGCTCACTTCTCGATCATCTCCCTGCAGAGAGCCGTGACTAAGTCACGGCTCTCTAGATAGGCAGAGTCAGCTGTCACGCGCGCAGTTGGGTGGATCTCGACAGCATTGTCGGGTTCTATCCGGCCGCGGCGATCTCAGTATTTCCCGCGTGCTGTAGCTAGCTATATACTGATTTTGGGTCACAGCAGGACACTAGTATATGTCCTCCCGTGACCCTTAAAGAGAACTATGGGGAAAAACACCTACCCCATAGTTCTCTTTTAAGTTTCTACCAATATTACATGGAACAAAAAATATAAGTGTTATCTTTATTTGGCTCAAACTAGGGTGGAAATTGTATCCTTTCAGTGCGATGATGCTGTCCTAAAAAACATGTACAATTATTTACAACTATGCTACTCTCAACATAGAATTAAAGGAGAACTATGAGGTGAGTGATTTTCACTCAACCTCATAGTTCGAGCCCACGTGTGACAATGTAACTGTCACACGTCGACTCAATAGATCGGGAAGTGAGCGAGCACATACCGTCGCTCGCTCACTTTTTGATCATGTCCCTGCAGAGAGCCGTGACTTTCACTCAAAACGAAAAAAAATTTAATTAGTTTTGTCAAACAAAACCAATTTTTATGCTGTATTGGATTTGGCCATATTGGAGGCGGAGGCACTTGACGCTACGTGTGCAACATCACACGCCTGTTGGGAGGGGGCACAATTTTCTGTTCTTGCCTCAGGAGCAAAAGGAGTTAGCTATGGCTATGGCTCTGCACATTCTTGTTTGAAAAACTGTCATATACAGAATTTGTGGTCTGCTTGGCTCAGGGGTGACAATTTCCTGGGACCTAAGTCCTCCCCTATTCTTCAGATAGTACCTATCTTCTAGTGGAATGGTGTGTGGAAAATGAAGACTCTTTAAATGTAAAGTTGTCAGATGTTTGACATTGTTCCTTGAAGTGCCTTAAATATGACTCGGAATCATATATCTAATAGTATGATGGATTTGCATTAATGGACATATACTCTGTACTCAATATCAGATGAATATTCTACTCATGCTGTCTGTACATCGTAAATGCTGCAATCCTTTATTGTTTTACCTAAGATAAAAAAAAATCTTTAAAGGTTTAATAAAAATATATCTGATTTTAAAACAATGCTATTTTCCCATAGACTGCAATGAACAGATTTATTCTTTAAAATATTTTTGGAATTTTCAATAAGGCAGGCAAATTAAAGTTCATAAGCAACAACGCAATTACTTACCAACGGTATTTGACCTAAATAAAAATGTAAGTAAAATGTCCCTATAATAATACTATCTCTCGCCTCGTCTGGCACTAGCTGAAAACTCGTCATCTTTGGTGACAGGGAGCCACCTCTGTCTGATCTACTCTGTACTCTGCTTTCATGGGCCTCTGCTATCTTAAAGTCCATTTCCACCTTTGTAAGTGATGAGCATTTATTGTGGTAATGTAGAGGGGCAGTAATGATGTATATGTGTGCACATTTTCATGACTCACATTGCAGGCTTTCTTCTTATGAAGTTTTCATTAGGCCTGAAACCCAGAAATTCAAAATGTTCTCCACAGAAACCTCAGTCTGACACTGGGGTCGGATGTAAAATAGACTCTAAACAGCTCTCCCCCTCACTGTTGTTCATTTTAGCATGATCAGTAAACAGCTTTGCCATTGCACACAATACACTGTCAGGGGAGGGGGGATTGCCACTGTGAATACTAATGAATAGGGGGTGGGGGAGGTGGAGAGCTCACTTTTATTATACACACATTACTTGAAAAGCACATTTGCAGCCATTTCCATGAGGAGATGAAGAGGAAAGCTAAGTTTGTGTGTTTGTATACAGCAACTGCATATGCCTGGTTCATGTACATTGGTGGCATGTTTTTTTTTTTTAAATACCTCTGCGAAGGTGGAAATGGGCTTTAAAAACTGTTTACCCTTGAGGCAACAGATTTCAGAGATTGTAGGTCTGTGGAAGGAGTAGAGCAGATCAGATGGAGGAGGTTCCCTGATGCCGAAGAAGATGCAAATTCAGCTAGTGCCGGGCCAGAACCCAATAAAAGTGAAGAAGGTAGATACTACACCAAAGCTCTGTTGGATCTACATTTTTAATGAGTTTAATCATTAGTGAGTAAACATGCTTGGGGAATGTGGCGAGAGAGAGAGTGGCAAGAGCATGGCTTTGGAGTAGGAGGTGTTATCAGTTCTTTGTGCACTGTATCAAGCCTATTGCTCTGAAAGGAAGTGGAGAGAAGGAATAATGTATATACTTTAGCTTCAGCTTGTCCAGTATCTTCATATTGCTTTCCTTCAACAGTCCCATGGTCCAGGAGATACTCCATTGTGTTGTGGGTCTGCAAGACCACTCATCTGGCACTGGTTCTCATTTTAGGTAGCGGTTTTATCTCAGGTATTTCCCACATACGTAAACTTCATAAACTATCAAAAACAGGTATACTGGCAAACATGCCAGGAAGCCTCATTTTAGCTGTACTTGATCTTTCTGGTGTGTACATTTGTGAGAAAAATTAATCAAATTTAGAAATGTCAGCGCTTTTGCATGATTGGCTTCTAAAATGTGATCAGATCTTTTTCGTAGGTCATAATAATAATATAACTGACAACGCAAACAAGCCCCATGTTTCACGTACATATTCATTCTCTCTTTCTCTCCCTCTCCTACAATTAAAGTGTATATGTGTGTATATTCTGTGTGTGTGTCGTTTCAGCTGTTTCCCTGTAATTAGCCAACAATTTACAGGCTTCTTCATTAAAGCAGTGCAAAGTGATTTTTTCTTTTTTTTTGTTGTTGTATAGTAAAATTGAAAACTTGTGAAATAATATAAGCCTTTATCGTATTTAGAGCAATTAAGAGATGTTCATCTGCAACAAGCAATTTACACAGGCATAGATAATTTTGGAATGTGTCAAAATAGAGACCAGTATTGGCTGTGACTCAGACAGTGGTAGTTATGAATGTGGCGTCTCTTTCTCTCTCATTCTCTCGGTATGAACCAAGTTAATTAGAATTTAAAAAGTAATCACACAGTATCATGGTATCAAGCTTCAGCGCAGTAGTTGTCTTTGATGCAAGGGTCTGGTTCCTCATCTCACTCTTTTTTTTTTTTAAACTTCCCTTCTGCAGGTTCTTTTTCCGCAGTGGAAATATAGAGCACCCTGAGGATAAGCTTTATAACACAACAGTGGAGATTCTCCCTTTTGATGTAAGTGTTTATTGTGTGTTTGAAAAATGACCACACACATATATTAGATTTTTTTTTGGTCTAGACGATTGCAGTTCTTTGATCTTCAGCTAATAAGACTGATCTTTTATGAAAGATGAAATCTAGATCACTTAATGTCTTAACGAAAAGCTGTCATACAATAAATATGTAGGCCAAAAATGTTCCTGGCTGTTATGTTCTCTCACTTGTTTCTCACAATGTTTCTTGAGTCACTGACCCAAAAAAAACACCTTCATACCTCTCTCCCTCCTCTTGTTCATTCACTAGTCCATGAACAGGTCCACCACAGCATTCTTTCCTAGGATCACGATCAGCTGCTGCTTTTCTCTACCCTATGCTGATGGGTGCATCATCAATTAGTTCTTTATCTGCATCCACTCTCCCCTTTTTTTAGTCAACTCCCACTATACCTTCCTTCTTCGACTCTGTCCCACAGCCATTCTCAAAACTCACTGTACATATTCAACCAATAGTTGACAATGCTCTGCCTAATCTATGCCTTGTCCAAAATCAGATACCCACTTCCTTCTGCCAGTCCATGATCATTTTTCTCTGTGGCTTCACTCTTTCACTTCTGCTTGTCCTTGATCAGATCACACTTTTCCTCTTCTCTCTTTCCTCATTGTGATTATTTAATTTTTGCCTTATCTCTCTTTAACTTTGCCCAGCACATGGTCAGCTCACAGTCTGCCTCCTCACTTCCTTTTTGGTCTGCTACTACTTTGCCTTTTCTGCCTCTGTGTGTTGCTAATCCACCGTTTCCACTTTTCCTGGTTTATCATTATGTCATGTATTTCCTTTAACCAGTTGCCGTCGGCCCGTTGTAAAAAAAAACGGACGGATGGCACTGCAGCATTGGCGGGTTGCATTTTTTTTCTGCGGGCGCGCACGGGCAGAAAAGACCCGACCAATGCAAACACCCGCTACCGGTGTTTCACATATAGACGATCGGCGGCTCTATAGCCTGACGATCGTCTATATGTGCTCGTCCTAGAGACCCCTAATGTCTCCATAAAGAGGACCTGTCAGTGTGCCTTTGCTATTATATAGGGGGATTGTTATCCCCCTATATAATAGCAATAACAATAAGTGCAAAAAAATATATATAAAAATAAAAAAAATAAAAGTCACATATAAAAAAAGTTTTAAAAAAAACCCCAAAATGTTTAACTCCTCCACCCCCACGTTTACGCAGACATAAACGTAAATACGCGCCCGGTGCCCCAGTGCGCAAAAACGACAATTGCGCTACACATGTTACATATCGCCGCGAACATCGCAGTGAGAGCAATAATTTTAGGGCCATCAATCACTGATAACACTAAACTGATGAGCGGTAAAAGCTTCCGCTTGCGCACGCAATTTTAAGGCTTGACATGTTTGGTGTCTTTTTACCCGACGTGACCCCGTCTTTTATATTTTACCAAAAAATTGGGTAATAATAAATGTTTTATCATTTAATATAGGTTCGGTAATTTTTCCTTAATATAGTAAAAAATAAAAAAACCCTGTGGTGAATAAATACCACCAAAAGAAAGCTCTATCTGTCCCCCAAAAAATTATATAAAATTCATTTCAGTACAGCGTTGCATGACGGAATAAATGTCAGTCAAAATACTGCAGCGCTGAATACTGAAAAAAAGTTCCAAAAATAGTTGCATGATTGTAGTCCAATCCTTAAAGTTTCTGCAGAAACAGACGACTATAGATCAGTCTGTTTATTGGATGCCATGGACCCTATCAGAAACCCATAGGCGGCTCATGATAGGACCTATTGACCAGGATGAAAAATTATAGCCTAATGACCGAGTCTCCTTTAAGAAACCAAATGTTTTTCATGCACGTATTGTACCTGTTTTTATACAGTTTTATTTGTTAAGTGTATGTGTTTCATCAATCAAAGCTTTGATATTGTACTTTCTAACTGTAAACGTGATTTGATTGTAGCACAGTGAAATAGTTTATATTTTTGGAAAGTTCTCTGGTGAAGAACACCTGCAGCATGTAGAAATGTGTTATTGGAGCTTAGGATTCTGGGAAGAAGCCAGTTAGGACAACATGCAGCTGTAAAATATGAATGTAACATTATGTATTCAGGCAGTAGTGTGAAGGAGGGGTTTACACAACCAGGTGGAAATTAAAATTAATGTCCACATCGTCTTTCACAATAGAAAATTAGAAGAGTATCGTTTCTGAGAAATTACATTCTCTTTTTGACGAGTAGCTTTCCTAGAAAATTTACGCACTGTGACTGTTCACGTCGAATGTAAGGTGAATTCTCGATCACAATTCTGCTGTTGTGTGAACTTCAATGTACATGCTGTAAGGTACAATGTAATAAAATATAAACTTTACACAAGGGACCTGCTAGTGTTATCTGTAAATGTTTGTTACATCGTGCTGAAGTATTGCAGCGCTCATAACCTGCTCTGTCTGGCAACATGAGCTAAAGATCTGGTTGTTCCAGCCATCACTTTGATTAGCCCTTTATGAGAGATTGCATCAAAGCTGCATGATCACTGTTGTGCTTCTACAAACTAGCAGCTGTCCAAACACTCCACAGGGGGTTCAGAAGCATGTGCTTAAGTCCCTAAACTACTATATGATATGCCTAGCTAATGCCAATGAAATGCATAATAAACACAGATGTAACTAGTTTGTGGTAATTGGTAGTGAGAGACTCTGAATCCTGCTTAAATTGACACCTGTATACTTTAGGGTTGACATTTGGCTAGATTAGTAAAATACATATACGTGTGCCGTCATTTGATATGATTCACACACCTCTGTTCCCATAGTCAGGTGAGTGGTCACCAGGTCACGATGTAGGGAGAATTTCTCCAACTAAGACACAACAGATAGGGACAACAGGTAGGAATTCTCCCCAATGGGGAGACAAAGGGTAAACACCAGTCTACCTTTCCCTAGTCTATCCAGGATTTAAAAAGGGGGTTAGGCTGTTGTTTCACTTTAAACAATACAGCTTAGTCACCTCCCTAACCTCAGCCTGGTGATTAAATAATAAAAGAGAATAGAGTAATTCCTGTGCTTTCTGCTACTGAACGCAAGCTACCTGTGATAAATTGACAGCAATAAAGTCTTACAGTGGCTTACAGTGTACCTCCATCTCAGAGTACCAGTATAGAGGGGATTAGGGCAGCTAATATATAGACAGATTTTATATACTTGTACTAGCGGAATTGCATTTCATGATTTGTAGTCAACACATTACTGGACTAAAGGCTGCATTTTTTTAATGTTTGCATTTGGTTAAAATGTATTGCTCTTGAGGTTTAGATAGGAATTTAACTTTGTAATTTGCAACACTCTCTTTTTTTTTTTAGTTTATAAAATTCCTTCTCTTATTTTGGCCTTAGGCCTGGTTCACACCTAGGCGTTTTACAGCGCGTTCCTACGCGCTGTAAAATGCTCAACATGTGAAAACCAATGATTGCCTATGGGCATGGTTCCCACCTGGGCGTTTTACATCGCGTAGGAACGTGCTGCAAAACGCCCTACGCCCAAAGAAGTACAGAAGCTTTTTTGTTGCAAATTTGCCGCGCGTATCCATTAGGATACAGCTGGATAGCCCTCGGAAACGCGCGTTTCTTTTACCGCAAATCGCGGTAAAAACGCGCGGCAAGAAACGCTTGGCAAACACGCATATTCCGTATGCTTTTGTGTGAACCCAGCCTTACTCTTTTATGCTCCAGTTATATAGTGAAGTCCGGAGTTGTGCACTGTTAGTTGAATAATCAGTGGTAATATTCAGGTTTATGTACTCCATTGTAGCCCCTGATGTACACAGGTATTGATTGCATTCAAAGATCACCAGTATCAAGCAGTACCATATTAATGATTTATATTAAGCGTTTAACACATTTTTATCATGCTTAAAAAAAAAATCTAGCTTGCTGCATCATTAGTGCCGGTTCCAGCAGAGCACACTTACATAGGATTGAATGGTAATGGATGTAAAACACATAAAAAAAACAACGCACTGCAAGAAAGCACAGATATTAGATCTGAACATGAGATATGAGTATACCCTACCTGCTTGGGCTGCTACAAAGTCAGGTGACAATATTGCACTTTCTGGGTGAATTTTCTTTACTACATAATAAACTAAAAACTGCAAAATCAAGCTTTAAGGGACTAATGCTTTAGCAAAGACGTTGAAGACGCTCATTACTGCAGGGAGCTCTTGCCACTGGAGTTTCTGAGAGATATTAGAAGGCCTGGGATAATTAAACTCACTGGTGCCCTGTGAACTGAACAGTATTAATGAAAATAATTATAAAAGCTTGTATGTTGAGAGAAGAAACTTGTTTTACAACCTGAATGCAAAACATTTCTGGAAGGATATCAGCTGGAAGTGCAACTTCTTGTGAAGTTATTCTTTAGAGAAAATGCAAAATGCATTATTCTTCCAAACTGAGGTCTAGAAATCAGCCAGTGTCTGGCACAAATGAAGCACCACACACTATAAAAGTCAAATACAATTCATGTATTTTACTTTTGGTAGTTCGGTAGAATAATGGAAAATATGTCTTATCAGAAAAGTGTATAGACAGGGTAGGCATCAGTTGGCAGGAGATTAAGTTTGTTTTTTTAGTGAACTTTATTTAAAAGATTGCAAATCTGAAGTATAGAAACCAATTCAGAATTCCACATGATAGACATTCTACAAACACAAACAGTAGATGTATAATAACAGTATAACATAGAAAAAGTATTATATAAGGCCATCTAAGCATTTTATTATTTAAATGTCAAACTGCATTTTGTGGAAAAGATGGGGGCGAAGAAAACTAGGTGATGGAGGAAATTCCTAGAGTAAAAAGTAGAAGGTGAAAGGGTAATGAAAATAGAGGGTTAGGGGGATTTAGATCCAATTGAGGAGAGCCAAAAGATAAGCCATATGGTTTGATCTGTTAAAGAGCAAAAAGGCCCACAGTCCATAGGGATTAGTATTGACC